ACCAAAAAATAACTACTAAATTGACGAGAAAAAATGTCAATTTTAGATGGCTGACACCAGAAGGGATTCTTGTCACATGGCAGGAGAGAAGGTTCCGTCTAGACTCAGTGGAGAAGGCAGAGGAGTTTTATAGGGAGAATTTTGGTAGTGAGGAAGATTTAACTGAGGGAGAGGTGAGACAGGAAAGGGAAACATCAGTTCAGGCTGTGGAAAGAAAGGCAATGTACCCTAAAGGAAAGCGGGTTGATACTAGAGAGGATATAGACAATGGCAAAAATGAAGGGAAACATGATGAGGATAGACCTAAAGAAATTAAAGAGGCCAGACCGACAAGATTGATAGTGGAAAAAGAAAAGGATTTACAACCTCAAGAGTCTAGGCCGCCAATAATAACTAGATCTAAACATAGATGAGGGGAAAAAAGGTGTTGAATCCATATCCATCAATGTTAATGGTCTCAACTCTCCAATAAAAAGGAAAAAGTTTTTGAATAAATTGTATAAGATGAATTTAGATATAATCATGTTGCAAGAAGTCCATATAAAAAAACAATATCAATACCTATTGAACTGCCCTAAATTGGGGAACATGTTTGCGGCACTATCACAATATAAGAAAGGAGGAGTGGTAGTATATATTAAACAAGAAATCTTGGCAAAGCAAATTTACAAAGATGAAGAGGGCAGAATTTTAATTGTAGAAATAATTCTGAATAAAATGAAAATCCTTCTAGTGGGAATCTATGCTCCGAATGAGGGGCAGAAACAATTTTATAAAAAACTACACAATATTATTTATTATTCAATTGGAATATGACAATATATGTATAATGGGAGACTACAATGCAATTATGGATAGATGCCTAGATTATAAATGTGGAAAGAATAGAAAAAGAATTAGAAGTACAATACCTGATACATTCTTAAAAATGGCTAATGAGCTTAATATTCAGGATATTTGGAGAGAGAGGAACCCAGGGAAACAACAGTTTACATTTTACTCTGGACGGCACCAGTCATGGTCCAGAATTGACATGGTGTGGGTGTCAGCAGGTCTAAATTTAGAGGTAGAGGATGTTGTAATCGACACAAACTCCTGGGCCAACCATAACCCAATTAGAATTAGATGGAAAGGGCAGAAAAGAATGAGGAGATGGACTTTGAAAAGGGCAATTCTTAAACATAAGGAATTTAAATTGAATTTGGAAAAACAAATGGGCCTATTTTTCGAGACAAATAAAAAGGAGGACACGAACTGCCAAAACTTATGGGATACTGCCAAAGCGTATATGAGAGGTGTGGCAATTTCCTATATGGCCAGGGAAAACAAAATTAAAACACAACGATTAAGACATTTAGAAGAAGAATTAACCAGAGTTGAGGAAGATTTGCAAAAGGAACCACAAAGAAGTGGGTTGAAACAGCAGATAAATTTAATTAGGCATAAGATGGACATTATTGGCAAGGAAGAGTTAGGGCAGCAGATAAAACGTACTAAACAATTTTTTTTTGAAAATGCCAATAAACCGGGGAGATGGCTGGCCTATAAAATTAAAAAACATAACAATAAACAAAGGATTACTAAACTTTGCAATACAGAAGGTGATATGGTGTATCAGAACGAAGGAAAGAAATCAGTGGCATACGAATTTTATAAGAATTTATACAAAGATGAAAAACGGAGAAATAACGATGATATTGTACAGTACTTGCAAACAGCTGATTTACCGAAAGTCCCAAAAGAATTTAAAATTTTATTGAACAAAGAGATAACACCTTTGGAACTTTTGGAAGCAATTAAGAAACAAAAAAATAATAAAGCACCTGGGCCAAATGGCCTACCTGCAGAAGTGTATAAGATCATACAAGAACTTTTAAGTCCAATAATGTTGGAACTATTTAATGAGGTCTTAACCAAGGCTAAAACACCAGCTTCATGGGAAGAAGCTTTCCTTACTCTTGATTCCTAAGGAAAATGCAGATCTGGCGCATATCAAAAATTATAGACCCATCTCATTATTAAACTCAGATTATAAGATCTTCATGTCTATAATGGCCCAAAGACTTGAAAGATTTTTAGCAGATTTTATACACTCTGATCAAAATGGCTTCTTACCCAAAAGATACATAAGAAACAATGTCAGGATTATTTTGGATATTTTGGAGTATTACGAGGTGCACAATGAAAAGCAAATGAGTTTAATCTTTCTTGATGCATAAAAAGCTTTCAACAACGTGAAATGGGATTTTATGTTTGAGCAATTGGTGTATATGGACTTCGGGGTAAATTTTATAAACATGTTTAAATCAGTTTATTCTAACCAGGTAGCGAAAGTAATAATTAATGGAGAAATGACTGATAGTTTTCCGATTCAAAAAGGTACGAGACAAGGCTGCCCGTTATCACCTTTGTTGTTTATTTTATCCCTAGAGGTATTGGCCAGAGTAACTCAAAAAGATAGGCAGATCAAAGGTTTAGAGATCAAGGAAGAAACGTTCAAAACGCAAGCCTTTGCAGATGATTTAGTTTTTATAATTGAAGAGCCATTGCAATCAGGGATAAAATTGATGGAGGTCTTGAGCAAGTACGGGGAAATTGCAGGTTTGAAGATAAATAAAGAAAAAACTAAAATGCTTGTCAAAAACATGACTAAAGTACAGAAACATGATTTGGCTGATAGATTGGGTATTCAAATTACGAATAAAATAANAGGAATACAATTAACTGCTAGATGCATTACATTAAAGAGAGATAATTATGACAAATTAGTTGAACAAATCAAAGCTGATTTAGATATTTGGACCAACTTACAACTTTCTTTCATGGGCAGAATAGCAGTAATTAAAATGAATGTGTTGCCGAAAATTTTATTTTTGTTTCAATGCATACCCATAAAATTGGACAAGAATATTTTTCAAAATCTTAATAAAATTGTTCTCAAATTTATTTGGCAGGGAAGGAAGGCAAGGATTAGATTAA